ATCTTTTCTTCCCATCTTAACCTCTTACTTGACTAATTTCCATGTTCCTTCCTTAATGATTGCTCTTTAGCTGATGCTTCTTTGAGAAGCCCTCTTTGACACTGCTCTCCTGCACACCACAGCTAAGCTTATTTAGGTGTAATTTTCCCTCCCATAGCACTCCTCATGGTACCATAACTGCTATGCTTTCACAGCATGGGTCCCCATACTCATTATCTGCAAGACCTGCTTCAAAATGCCTGCCCTTGATCCACACCATAGAATGGGCTAGGAGTTGGGTTAAATTCTTAATCTAGGGGTCAGAAAGTTTGCAAGCAAAATGGTCTCTGTCACAGGTACTCAACTCTGTCATTACAACATGAAAGCAGCTACTCCTCAATGCATAGACATGTCTGCATCCCAACAAAACAGGCATCAGGCTGGATTTGGCCTGTGGGCTACAGTTTGCCTATTCTTACCTCAATCCCATCACCTAGAAATTCTTTATGTTTCTTTCCACCCCTGCCGAGAATATTATCTCCATTCAAACTTACCAAAAGACCCCTGTGCAAATTGCTGACATTATATCAATCCTTTGTAGTTTGCTGAAAGTCCTGGTGGCAATGGGAAAATGTTGAAAGAGAATCCCTTCCCCAGACCTACTGAGGGAGCTTTTATTGTCAGTAGCATGCCTCGAGCTCCATCTATCTGGAGGTCTTTATAATCAGCAGCCCCTTATTAAGACAAGTTACTCTTAAAAAACACACAAAAAACCTAAAAACATGCAAGGGTCGATCTCAAAGTAAGTACTTACAATTTTGTTGGTAAATAGGCTGCAGTGTCATCTTTATTTCTGATAATGTCATTACATTTTTCAAGTGTTTGAAAAACAGTGAAAGTATCCCCAATGCTATAGAGGGCTGCGAGATTTTTAGCTAACAATTTTCGTGTCGGTGGTCCAGGTGAACTGCTTATTAATCCGGTTAATTGTTCAACAAGTTTTTTCTGTTTTTCCTTAACATCAGTCTGTTATAAAAAAAATAAAGAACATCAACAGTTTTTAAAATATGTACTTTTATTGCCTTTGAGTAAAAATAAAAAATACTTAACAGTTAAGGCATTCTAATAATTAGGATATATATTACATTAGGCATAAAACAATAAATGAGAATTTTTCAAGATGAGTTCAGTAGGAAATTAATCATTCTTTACTAAATAGCTTCCTTTGTTCCCCTCCAAAAGTTTCCATGCCAACTTACTAAGAAATAAACCAACAGTCCCAGGATGTATAATATTGGGCATATGCACAACTGATGTCTTTAGAACCCAGATAACTCCTTTTTAAAAGCAAATTCAGTAGTCCAAAAAGTTATAGGTCAGTGAAGGAAATCAAAAGAAATTTTGAAGGAGCCTTAAGCAACAGGAAAAACACTCAGATCTACCCATACTCAATACTAAAAATTCATTCATTCATTCATTCATTCAAGAAATATGTATTGTGCACTTATTATATGCCATGCACTATTTTAAGGAATGACTATTCTAGGAAACAGTGAACTCTAGAATTTACATTCTAGAGGGGAGACACAGAATTTACCAAGTAAACACTGAATAGTGTGAGTTATTACTATTTTAAATAGATTAGTGAGGAAAGGCCTCCCTGAAAAGAAGTGAAGGTGTAAGATATGCAGATATCTGGGAAAGTAACATTCCAGGCATAGAAAACTGTGTAAAGGCCTGGAGGAGGGTGTATGCTTAGCACGCCTGAGGACAGTGAGAAGGCCAGTATGGCTGGAGCAGAGTAAGAGACAGGAAGTAGTAGGAGATGAAATCAGAGAGATAGAAGGGACCACGCTGTGTCGTGCCTTATACATCACTGTAAGAACTTTGTGTTTTATTCTGAGAGTGTGAAGCAGAGGAAGGACATGATCTAAATGTTTTAACAGGTTCATTCTGACGGCTGAGCTAAGAATACAAGGTACATGTTGGAAGCAGTGAGCACTTAGGAAGCTTTTTGCAATAATCCAGATGAGAGATGGGGCTGATAACAACTGAGAAGATGAAAAGCAATTTAATTCTGGATATATTTAGTGGATAGATCCAATTGGAGTTGCTGATGATTATGATGTGAAATTTGAAAAAAAAAAAAAAAGTAAAAAATGCCTCTAAGGTTTATGACCTGACCAATTGGAAGGATGAAATATTCATTTACTGAGATGAAGAGCACTAAAGAAAGGACAGGTTTGGAAAGGGGGAATCAATAATTTGTTTTTGAATACGTTAACTTTGAATATTCTGTTTAGATAGCCAAGATAAAGAGGTAGAGTGTCTCATTGGCTCTCTGGGAGTCATTACTGTATAGATCAGCGGTTCTCAACCTGTGGGTCGCAACCCCTTTGGGGGTCGAACGACTCTTTCACAGGGGTCGCCTAAGACCATTGGAAAACACATATATAATTACATGTTGTTTTTATGATTAATTACTATGCTTTAATTATGTTCAATTTGTAACAATGAAAATACATCCTGCATATCAGATATTTACATTACGATTCATAACAGTAGCAAAATTATAGTTATGAAGTAGCAACAAAAATAATTTTATGGTTGGGGGTCACCACAACATAAGGAACTGTATTAAAGGGTCGCAGCATTAGGAAGGTTGAGAACCACTGGTATAGATAGTAGTAAAAATCTGAAAATAGATGGTATCACTGTAAGAATAAGTATAGACAGATTTTTTTAAAAAGAAGGCTACCCAGAACTGAGAAAGAACCAAGAGAAGGAAATGAGGAGTGACTAGTGCAGAAGAGAACTAAAAGCAAATGGTGTCTTGGCGACTACGAATAGGAGGACTTCATGCAGTGTGCATCCACAGTAATGACAACAATCTATTGTTTAATTTGAATGGAGGTTTACAGATGTCCATATTATTATGCTTCAATAGATAACTTTGTATATACTCTTTCGTATTTTTCAATTTCAGAACTAAAAAATACTTAAGTCTTTCAGGTAGAAGTTCAGCTATGTCAATTAATACAGAATACTGATCCATTGATTTGGGCAATTTGAGATCACTAATGATTGAACAAGAGCTGTTTCAGTGGAGTAGAGGCAACAAATATTCAGCTGGAGGGGGTTTAAGAGAAAATAGAAACCTCAGTGAAAGAAACCTCACTAAAACTATACTAAAGGGCAACCCCCCCAAAACCACAAATCCACAAGGGTAAAGAAAACAGGAAATGAATCAATGCAAAAGATGGAAGCCAGGTATCTCCAGTAGGGAGAGCTGATAAGAGACCCAACTTACAAGAAATCCCCTAAAAGCTCATGCTGTTTATTCATGTTGCTTTGAGGCTCCAGGAGTTTATGGAGAAGTGAAGTTCTGTCTAGAAATGGAGGGAATGATTGAGAATCTACGACTCCCATATCTTTCTCCTCTATTCTGGACTTATGGGACCCAGGCACAGCTGTGGGCCGAGAAAATGGCACTGAAAACAGGGTGGCTAAGTGAAAGTTTACATAATGAATGCTGAAGTCCCCGGCCTTCTCCCTCAATTCCTACAACCCAGGCAAGTAGTCGTACACCCTACAACACGAGAGCAGAAAAGTCTCTTCTGGGGAACGACTAGCCAAGAGAAACCTATGATACTACCGGCAAGTGTTTCTCAAAGAACTGGACTAGTCATCAGGTGAAGTACAACGAACAAACTTCACCCTGCCCAGAAAAGCATTTCACGACTCACGCCCAAATTTGAGCAGACATCCAAAGACCATCAGATTTTGAGCAAAGTGTCTAATTTTCAAGGCAGAAAAGCAGCACACGGATAATGAGATAGACTATCCAGGGGTGGGCAAACTTTTTGACTCGAGGGCCACAATGGGTTCTTAAACTGGACCGGAGGGCCGGAACAAAAGCATGGATGGAGTGTTTGTGTGAGCTAATATAAATTCAAAGTAAACATCATTACATAAAAGGGTACGGTCTTTTTTTTTTTTTTAGTTTTATTCATTTCAAACGGCCGGATCCGGCCCGTGGGCCGTAGTTTGCCCACGGCTGGTACACAGGCCAAGGAAACGGCGGGAAAGCCTATTAGTAACTCCTCAGAGGTACAAATGAAGATACTGGGGTGGCTAGGCAGCATGGGGGGACCACCTGCAGTGAGAGACGACGAATTCAAAGTGACACCGGTCATATAGCCGTGCTCTTCCCCAGTCACATTCAGCTGTCCTGGTGGAGGCACGAAATGGGCAACTAGGGGGGTTGAAAGGAGGTTTGGGGTCTGCCACACAATATAGAAAGTACAGACAATACATCCCTATGACAGTAATTTTCTCAAGTTCCATGAGAGACCTACAACCTTTTAAAATACGTTTTCTCACAAATCATGAGCACATAAGATTCTTGATTATGTTAACCCAACTGGGGGGAAAAAGCAGTATCATACCTTGTTGGCAGCCACCAAGACTTTATCAAGAAATCGCAACCATTCAAAGATAAAAACTGGCCTCTTTGCTTCCGTGATTTGAGCCAAAGCTTCCTCATTTAGCAACAAACTGTGGGCTAACTCCATGACTGAAGTTTTAAATTCACACCTTAAAGTAACAAATTAAAAAAAAAAAATGCTTGTTAAAAGTCCAGCTTCGTGATTGTAACCACTAAGAAATGAAAAGTCAGGCTTTCCCTCTCATTTCTTTTGAAAAGAAACTACGTAACTTCTTTGTGGCAAAACCTGAGAACTAAATTTTAAAGGACAAGGGTACCAAAAAAAAATCAAAGAAAGTAATGATTAGTGGGGGGGGAGAGGGGGGGAGGGTAAAATAACTGGAAGTTGCAAATGAGGCATTTTTCCAGGGGGAAAAAAAAATGCCTACAAAAAACAGGTCAATAACCCATTCCATGAACCGGAAAACGGAAAAGCACCGAGACCAAACACCTGCCGGGCCCGCCTGCCTGGCCTTTTCTCGTCCACCGCTGGCTGCACCGCACCCTCCCCTCCCGGCTGCACCGGGCCCAGCAGCCTATCCAACCGCCCCAGCAAGAAGGCCCCGCACTGGACGTCTCCCTGCGTCTTCCTACAGGAACGGGGCGGGCGGCCAGGTCCCCGAGGCTGCAGCTTCGGTGACATCCCCGGGCGGAGGCGGCGCGCTCAGCGGGGCGGGTCACCGCGGCGCCTCCGAGCCCCTTAGCGCAGCGCCGGGCTGGGGACGGGGCAGAGGCCGCCGCAGGCCCAGGGAGCCACTCGGGCTGTCAACCCCAGGCGGCGCGGACGTGACGACCTCGAACCCTCGCCTCTGAAAATGCGCGGGGGCCAGGGGCGTGTAGGCGCACCCATGTGCTGGCTTTGGCGGCGGACGCGGCGGCCTCACCTCCTAGTCTAGCCGGGGCCGGTCCGCTAGGCTCCGCGGTTAGAGGCAGCTGCCGAGGGACCCGGATGCCCCGCCTCCCGCGGTCCTACCAGCAGGAAGCGAGGAGAGCGCGCGTGCGCAGAAGGGTGGCCTTGCGCAAGCGCACTGCCCGCGCCCTCCCGGCCCCGCCCGCCCGCTGCAGGTTTCCCACGGATTCTGCACCCGGAAACTCAGGTGTTCGCGGAGGCCCCGAAGTCCTCCTCAGGTTGGTGAGCGTGCGCTGTCGTGCGCTGGCCCCGGGCGAGTAGAACTGCCAGGTAAGAGACTGAGGCCCCGGATGAATGACAGGGCGGTGATCTGTGTGTTGGCTGTGACTAGCCCATCACACCGCGTTCCCACCGGTGTGGTCGCTGGTCGCGGCTGGGGGACGCTCGCAGCCGGGAGGGACCTGAGCGGGTGGGGATCGGCGGTCGCTGAAGGGAGAGTTGGAGACTGAGGCGTACTTTTGAGTTAATCCTTGACATCGTTTCCAATCCCTCGGCAAATCTTGTTAGCTCTGCCTTCAAAATACACCCACTTCCACGGCGGGCACCATGGTCCAAGCCACCCCCAGCTCTGTCTGGATGATCGCTTTGACACCTTTTGTTGTAAGTCCATCCCCTTATCCCATCTCTCCACCGGGATGTGTAGTGGGGCTCTCGGGGTGTCTGAAGCAGCACTCTTGCTGCCACCTCCCTGCCCCCTCTCTGCCAAAACGAAACAAAACAAAGTCTGCTACAGCCGAACCGCTCTCAAAACCTAGGAACCCCATTCCTCCAGGTATTCAGCCCAAAAGCCTTGAGGTAATCCTTGACATTGTTTCCAGTCCTTTGGCAAACCTTGGTAGCTCTACCTTCAAAATACACCCACTCCCACTGCTGTCACTGTGGTCCAAGCCGCCCCCATCCTGTCTGGATTGTCGCCTTGGTGGGTGTATGCTTATGCTTGATGGGAATGGAGGATGCTAAAGCATAGTGTGCCCTTTAACAAGTGCCTGTAACCCATTCGGGTCTGCCTAGCACTTGAGTACCGAACGGGTCCCTTAAAAATAGTCTCATCCCATGTGCAGTAACAGGAGCCCCGAGACCTGGTTTCCTTGTGGTGTTGACAAGACATTGAGCCATGTGGAGCCTTAATTTCTCCAACTAGTAAGCAGGACTAACTATAGTCTTAGCTTGTAGAGATTTAATGATGGCTAAATGGGCTAAAAAAAAAAAATGTGTGATACGCTGGTTAAGTGCTAAACCATTATGTGTAAGAATGCTGTTATTACAAACGAAGAATCTGGTGGGTGAATTACAACAAATGCTGAATATAATCTTCCGCATTTTAAGCTTATTATACTAAAAAGGAAAATAGGCAAATCTAAACTGTAATGTTTAAGGATGCACACGCGAATGATGCAACTATAAAGAAAAGGAGGTGACTAGAAGGAGTGTGAGTGACTGGAGGACAAAGAGGGCTCCTGAGGTGGCCAGTGGTGTTCTAGCTTCTGATATGAGGGATGGTTTGCGTTATCTTTTATTGTATCACATTATCCCGGCATTTATCAGCTTGAATAACTATAATCATTTATTCTATCACAGTTTCTGTGGATCAGGAGTTTCTTACTGGCTTAGCTTAGCGTGGACTTCCTTAAGAAGTTATGGTGAAGATGCCAGCCCAGGCTGAGTCATCTGAAGGCTGGACTGGCACTGGAGGATCCATTTCCAAGGTAGCTCACTCATGTCGCTTTCAAATCTGTTGTCCACAGGAAGCCTCTGTTCCTCCCGTGTGGACCTCTCCATAGAGCTGCGTGAGTGTCCTCACTACATGATAGCTGACGTCCTTCAGAGTGAGTAATCTAACTTCTGAGTCAGAGTGATCTAACTGAGAGCTGTAGTGTCATTTATGACCAAGCCGCCATACTCCTTCCTTTCCACAATATCCGCGTGGTTATGCAGGTCAATCATGTTTACTGTGGAAGGAGACTACACAGGGTGTTGAAAACCGCGACGCAAGAATCACTGGGGGCCATCTTGGAGGCTACCACCTGGTTATAAGAGTGTTTGCCTCATGATAATTTATTAGGTAATACATTTGTTTTATGTGGCTTTCTGTATTGATGATATATTTACATCAAGTTTTTAAAAAAAATAAGACATGGCACTGTAGGGAAAATGCATTTATTATCACAAAATTACAAATATCATTAAAGACCCTTTTTCTCATCATTGCTGAACATTAAGAATTTATGATGTTTGGGACACAATGGTGTAGGCATTGGCATACAGGGGATTTGTCTTTGTGGTTTACAACTCAGTTGGCAGGATAGACATTAAAAATATTAAAAACTAGTACAGTAATATTTTTTTTCATCCAATGGTCAGACTCTTGGTGGCAGTTGACAGAATTCCTACTCCAACAAGTTTAAGGAATGAGGACACTTATTAGCCTGTGTAGCTGGGAAGAATGCTAGGTCACAGTGTCAAAGAAAGAACTACAGAAATCATGGTCTTGGAAACTAGGGTTGGACACCCATTGCTTTTAGGCCTATCTTTGTCCATTTTCTCTGTCTGGGTTCATTCTGCAGAACAGGATCTCTTCATATGGCCAAGAAGATGGCCATCTGCAGCCCAGCTTCACATCCTTCCAGTTCAGAAACCCCAATGAAGAGTTTCTTTCCCCACAGCCCACATATTCATACCATGTAAAGAAAGAGTGTCTTCTTTGCCCTGGTTAAGTCATCCTCTCCCCTGTTGCAGGGACATAAAGTACTACAGTTGGCCATCTTGTGCCTAAGAGAGTATAGGAATTGTCACCTTCCTCTAGAACAGCCATGGGTAAACTACGGCCCGCGGGCCGGATCCGGACCATTTGAAATGCATAAAACTAAAAAAAAAAAAAAAAGACCGTACCCTTTTATGTAATGATGTTTACTTTGAATTTATATTAGTTCACACAAACACTCCATCCATGCTTTTGTTCCGGCCCTCCAGTCCAGTTTAAGAACCCATTGTGGCCCTCGAGTCAAAAAGTTTGCCCACCCCTGGTCTAGAACCATGAGGAGGCCAAAGGACTGGGCTCCCAAAGGAAAGCATGAACATCACCTGGGCACCTTTTAGAAATGCATAATCTCAAGCTCCAGCTCAGAATCAGACTCTTAAAAATTAATAACTGTTACCCTATCTTATTTGATTTGCAGATACTTCTGTTATATGAAGTTGAACATGGAGGAAGAAGAGGACTATATGTCTGATTCCTTCATTAATGTCCAGTAAGTCAATGTGTACACCTCATGGAATGTTGGGGTCCAGCCCCAGCAGGTCCAGGGGTCCCCAAAGGTGTGGACGGAGTCGGCAAAGAATGAAGGACACAGGGGCAGCGTTCAGGTGATCAGCAGCCTAGCCAGGATCTCTAGCCAGGATCTCCAGCCAAGTTCTGTCTTTTATTGTCTTGTTACATCTGTATTTATACCAGTTGATTTTAATCCTGTCCATTTCTATTCGAAAGGTTAGGGCGTTTCTTATCTCCATTCCAGGGAGTAAAGATTATGTAGCTTTAGGGTGATTGTTCATAGTTAAAGTGATTAACTACCCACCTGGCATTTAGTTAAGGGGTTTTATTCCCTCAATAACTTTAGGGAAAAATCCCTACCTGGGGAAACAACCTTTCTCAGAGAGGTGACCTTGGTTAAAACACATAGCACCAAGAAGATGAGCAAACATATTAAGAAAAGTATGGCATATACGCCAGGTCCCTTGAAACATATGCTGTGCAGATGTTTCTTCCCTGCAGCGACTGTGTCAAGCAGCAAGGATGGACCGGCTTCCGGCAATGGAATGCTGTGTATAAGACATTAATGTAAACTCTTAAGCAATGACATTAACTTTAAATGTGAGGTTGGAAAGTTAGTTTTATTGCTTTATTGGAACACCATCTATATATCCATACAGTGCTACAAGGAGCCTCTGAGTGTTACGCATTTTACTCTGCCTTTGATTCTTTTTATTCCCCTCTTCCTAGGAAATTTGTTCCTTTCCTTTATTTCATCTTTTTGTTTCTCCTAGCTACTATTCAGCTTGGCTCGTTATTGTTGCCAGCCACCTAGAAAAATTAATGAAAACTTACTTTTTAAACTGTATACTTTTAGTTTTCCATAATCTGGCAACAACCATCATCATTTTTATTAAAATAGCCACTCTCAGGTCACTGATTACATTCTAATATTTATGATAACAAAGATGGTCAGAGAGGTAGCACTGAAATATGAAGTAGTGTCGGGTGAGTAAGTTTCAAAGTCATGAGAAAACTTCATGTACTCATCTAAAACAGCCTTTTCCCTTATTCTTCAGAGAAGATATCAGACCAGGATTGCCAATGCTGAGACAAGTTCGAGAAGCCCGTCGAAAAGAAGAAAAGCAACAAGAAGCTAATTTGAAAAATAGGCAGAAGAGTTTAAAAGAAGAAGAACAAGAAAGACGTGACATTGGGTTGAAGAATGCACTAGGCTGTGAAAACAAAGGGTTTGCTTTGCTCCAGAAGATGGGATATAAAAGTGGTCAGGCCCTTGGCAAGAGTGGTAAGTCACATCCAGAAATGAAAAAGTGTTCCTAACCACGAAATGGTGGTTCACCCTTGGGTACCAGAGATGACTGTTTGATCTTATTCATCTACACAGAAATCCAAACAACTTAAGCGTCTTAGTCTCTTATGTGCTAACAAGTATTATGGAGAACTTTCATCTTCCCACATCCACTGTAGACAACCATGGGCCACTAAGAGCTGCTTATCAGCCCAGCTCAGCCTTGAAGTCACTAACAATGGGAATGAGCAAAGCTTACAATGGAGACAACAGCCAACAATGGCCAAAGGAAAATGAAACAACATTGAGGACTATGCCAGGACTCTACCCTGTTTGCTCTGTACCTGTAGCAGCTGCCTAAGTTGGAGAGGCTCCATTCTCACTTCTCTTTGTAGGAAGTGAAACCGTTTAATAAAATGTAGAGGCCATATATTTAAAGTAGCTTCTGTCATCCTCTTGGATGTTTAATATAAGTCTTTTACTTCTTAAAACACTACCTTTAGGTGACCCAGGAGGCTGTGGGTCAGCCTTATTGAGGACTATGTATTCAAAATGAGGTAATTGATTTACAGTATTGATGTTCAGATTGCAGTTTGAATATCACTGAAACAGGAGAGGATTTCTGTGGAATGTTGTAAAGTTGCATACTCTGCTTGTCAATAGTTTGAGGAAGAATTTCTAAAGTAGTTTGTGTTTTGTTCTCTTTTTATTAGGAGATGGTATTGTTGAACCAATTCCTCTCAATGTCAAAACAGGTATGTAATTATTTTTAGGGACATTTACCAGTAATAATAACTTATGCTTATATCTAGCACATACATTTGCTTAATAAGTACTTTTTTATGGTGGTACTGTTACAGTTTTTTTGTGTGTGTTTTTTTTAAATATATTTTATTGATTTTTTACAGAGAGAAAGGGAGAGAGATAGAGAGTCAGAAACATCGATCAGCTGCCTCCTGCACATCTCCCACTGGGGATGTGCCCGCAACCCAGGTACATGGCCTTGCCTGGAATCGAACCTGGGACCTTTCAGTCCGCAGGCCGACGCTCTATCCACTGAGCCAAACCGGTTTCGGCCTGTTACAGTTTTTATCATAGGAAGTCCTCAGGAAAATTTTTCTTAGTTAAATTTCTAAACCTTTTAAAATAAAAATAAGTTTTAGTGAGTATAAAATTTTAAATAATAAAAAATCTGGGGGGAAATTGTTGTAACCATTAAAAATGCAAAGGTATTTTTATCAATTGGAATGTTCTGAAAGTATTCTGAGACAGATTTATCCATTAAAAGTTTTCCTTAAATATCAGATCACTTTGTAAAGTATATAATTGTCTAACTAGTATGCTAGACACCTAAAACGAATACAAAATAATATTGAATGTAAACTGCATTTGCAAAATAAAATTTAAAAATGTTTTTCTTAGTACTTTGAATGAATTATATTTGAAAAATATATGTTTTATTTGTTCATCATATTTATATGAAAGTGTAACTGTTGGAGTTATTCTCCCAATTTAAACAAATTGTATAGTATTATTGTCATATTAGATCAAACTAATAATGGTCTTTGTAAAAACTCAAATTGTGTGTTTAGGGTTGTTGTTTTTTTAATCTGTTTTCTCCTGTCATTCTGATCAAATGATTTTGAGTGATTGTACTCAAGTTACAACTGCATTTAATTTGTAAATATAAAATTGTCACGTTTTGAAATGTAAATTTAATAAGCTTCTCACAGAGTTGTCTGAACAGGAAAAAGTGGCATTGGTCATGAGACTTTATTAAAACGGAAAGCAGAGGAAAAATTAGAAAGCTACAGAAGAAAGATTCACATGAAAAACAAAGCTGAAGAAAACGCTGCAGAGCAGTTCCGGTAAAACTTTGTATTTGAGCTGCTTTTGGTTTCATCTTGTCTCAGTGTGTTTTTGTTTTTAATAGATTTCAGAGAGGAGGGGAGAGGGATAGAAGGATAGAAACATTAATGATGAGAGAATCATTGATCGGCTGCCTCCTGCATGCCACACACTGGGGTTAGAGCCCTCAATCTAGACAAGTATGACTGGGAATCGAACTGTGACCTCCTGGTTCATAAGTTGACCCTCAACCACTGAGCCCACTGACCAGGTAGTTTTTTAGTACTTGGGCATAGAAAATGGATAAAGCGAGTACAGACCTGTAATGTGCTATTTTTTTCTTTAATTAGAATGCGACTTAAAAGTAAGCAAGATGAAATGAAGCTGGAAGGAGATCTTAGAAGAAGCCAGCGAGCCTGTCAACAATTGGATACTCAGAAGGCAAGCCTTTTACCTGCTTTCAGTTTGGTAGTGAAGTGTTTTGGCACCCAATGTGATTTGCCATGAATTTACGTTTAAAAACAACAAACCAACAAAACATTCCAATTCTGGTATACCTCGTCTTCTGCGGAGTAAAGCAGAAATTTTCAACCTTTTTCATCTAATGGCACATCTAATAAACTAATTACTAAAAATCTGTGACACACGAAAAAAATGTATTTTTTGCCCATCTGACAAAAAAATAGATATAATTTTTATTGATTTCTCTCTCTCAAAATCAGTTTTAAAAATATAGTTTTTAAAGTCTCAAAATGTAAAAATTTCTATTATCTTGAAATATATTGCTAGGAGCAGCCTCATTTTTATATATTTCCCTAGCACTTTATTTTGAATGTATGTCTTGACTCTTAAGATTTTCTAGCTTTTATGTATTATTTTGTATATTTTTCTTTATTGGTTAAGGCATTACATATGTGTCCTTATATGTATTATTTTATATCCATTAAGCTATTTATGTCCATAGCCTATTTTCCCTACTAGACTGACAGCAACTTGGAGACAATACAATATTCTAATTGGGCCCTAGCTAGGTAGCTCAGTTGGTTAGAGGTTTGTCTCATGCACAAAAGGTGGCAGGTTTGATTCCTGGTCAGGGCACATACCTAGGTTTCAGGTTCAATTCCCATTTGGGGTGTGTAGGCCCTGTACAGGAAGGCTACTGATTGATGTTTCTCTCTCACATTGATGTTTTCCCCTCTGTCTGTCTCTCCCACCATCTCCCTCTAAAATTCAATAAGCATGTCCTGGATGAGGACATATATATATATAAATAAATTGGTTTTTGCATCCCCAGAGTTTACAGTGCAGTGCTTTACTCTTGAAGCAGCACTCAGTAAATATTTAATCAAAAGGATGAATTCATGTTGACATGAACATACTGGTGATAGACTCATGTTTAGCTATGTTTAATTGGGTACAATTCTACATTTTCAGAATATACAGGTTCCCAGGGAGGCCTGGTACTGGCTGAGGCTCGAAGAGGAGACTGAAGAAGAGGAAGAGGAAGAAAACGAACAAGATGAAGATGACTATGAGAGTGACGATTTAAGTGTATGTTTTGGGACCATTTCCTTAAGCAGGGTGTCTCAGCATTGGCACTATTGACATTTTGAGCCGGGTACTGGTTTGTTCTGGGGTGCTGTTCTGTGTATTGTAAGATGCCTGTTGCACTTGTGACAACTGAAAAGATCTCCAGACATTGTGAAATGTCCTCTGAGGGGAATTCACCCTAATTGCCTTATAGATTTGTTAGCCCCAGATCAAAACTTTATAATGTTTCCCTTTAGCTTCAGTTTACCCTCTCATCTCTGCTCTAGTGTGGTTGATGGATTAGCTGCAAATGTAAATTATTTTCATTTTTACCGTGTTTCCTGTTAAACTTGTGGAATTGATTCTCATAAGTACCTTCTTCCCCACCCACAAACAAAACAAAGCAAAACTCAATTAAAAGGAAGAGGAGCCCTGACCAGTTTGGCTCCGTGGATAGAGCATCAGCCTGCGGACCCAAGGGTCCCAGGTTCAATTCTGGTCAAGGCATGTACCTTGGTTGCGGGCACATCCCCAATAGGGAGTGTGCAGGAGGCAGCTGATCAATGTTTCTCTCTCATCGATCTTTCTAACTCTCTATCCCTCTCCCTTCCTCTCTGTAAAAAATCAATAATATATATATATATATATATATATATATATATATATATATTAAAAAAAAAAAAAAAAGGAAGAGGAGATTATGCAAGAAATCACTACACATTTCTATGGTTACATGTACATAAGACTTTGATAGGAAACATTCAAAATTTGAAAAACCTATGTTCCACTTAAATGGGAGACCACTGATGAGAACTGTAATGGCACAGGGAAGCAGTGGGGAAGGTAGATTCTTTGAAAGTAGAAGTGGTCTTTAAACGATCCTCATCCTAATAGAGCCAGCCAAATTCTATTTCTGAATGTTAACAAGTAGTCTTTATTCTGTCTGGAAAACTTGTGAAAATAATCAGGGTAGCTGGCAAACTGGGACACATGCTAAAACATTCTGCCTTTCACACCTTTCCTGACTGGTAGAGAGTGTAGCGGAAGATTTATGGCCTTGGGCTAGTTCAGCATGATCCCAGAGACCAGAAAACCAATATCCCGGTCAATGTGAACCATTAATGTGCTTGTGTCCTATATCTAGGTACTGGAGAAATTACAGATATTGACGAGTTATTTAAGAGAAGAACATCTGTATTGTATTTGGTGTGGAACAGCCTATGAAGGTAAGAAAATGCTATAAACTTTTAAAAAATATTGAATACAAATGCTCTTTTTTTTTTTTAAAGATATTTTATTGCTTTTTTACAGAGAGGAAGGGAGAGATAGAGAGTTAGAAACATCGATCAGCCGCCTCCTGCACATCTCCCACTGGGGATGTGCCCGCAACCAAGGTACATGCCCTTGACCGGAATCAAACCTGGGACCTTTCAGTCCGCAGGCCGACGCTCTATCCATTTGAGCCAAAACGGTTATGGCACAAATGCTCTTTGATTTTAACTTTATTTTTTTTTTATGAACGTCATATTTCCCATAGATAGTGGAAATTTCTTATTCTATCCAAAAGGTAATGTAGACTCAATGTCTTAAATAAGTAGTAAGTATAGAAATATTTGAGGCCTTGTTAAAGGTGTTTTTAACTGTTTGGAAACAAAGTGCAGAAGGGAATTTTTCAGTCTTTTATTCACTTAAGGATAATTTTTTTATGCTTTATTTTTAATCTTTCTTAAGTTATAGATACTTCAAAGATATATTAACTTTTTAGAACTCATTATTATATAAATAGAATATTTGTCCCTGAACCATAAAAATCAGCATGTTGAAATCCACTTTTTTTTTTTAAATTTTAGAAAGAAATGGTTTAAAACTTGTCATATATATTACAGAGCCAAGTGCTTTTCCTTCTAATACATTTGCCCATGCTGGCTTTATTAACTTGAATTTAAGGCTTTGAACTTGAGAGTGAAGAATTTTTGGTTATTGTTGTTTTTACTAGTATCTTTTCCTGGTTTAACAATCAGGAGCAAACAAAACTACAAAATGCATGTTATGTTGAAATAATTGTCTAGAATAGTTTACAAGTCTTCTATTTCCTTCATGTAAATTACAGATCAAGAAGACCTGTCTTCAAATTGCCCAGGACCAACTTCTGCAGATCATGACTAAGATTCTCAATAAAGTAGAAACTTGGAAAATGCTGTTGTTTCCTAGACAGTTAAGCAGTTAGAATTCCCAAAAATTTTTATGTTTTTTTTTTTCTACTTTAGAGGTACTTTGTACTTTATTTATTTATTTATTTTTTAAATATATTTTATTGATTTTTCACAGAGAGGAAGGGAGAGAGATAGAGAGTTAGAAACATCGATGAGAGAGGAACATCGATCAGCTGCCTCCTGCACACTCCCCACTGGGGGATGTGCCCGCAACCCAGGTACATGCCCTTGACCGGAATCGAACCTGGGACCTTTCAGTCCGCAAGCCAACGATCTATCCACTGAGCCAAACCGGTTTCGGCGGTACTTTGTACTTTAAAATATAAAAGTTCATGGACTCCAAAAATAAAATAATGGAATGCTTTTTCAGAACACCAGATGGGCCATTACAAGTTATGGCTCTATTGTGATGCTTATGGAGTTTAAGGACACCAACAGGTAACTCTCTTATTCCCCTCTTCATTTCGGAACAAGTTAAAAAATAAGATGTGGAAGTCAGATATCATAATATCAGCTTTATTGTCCGTGAAGCTAAAACAGAGAGCAAGGCTGACCTGTCTCCAGTCAGGCTCCCTAATAAATCTGCCTGATTGGCGAGAACAGCAGGCCTCTCTCTGCCTTGCAGGGACACAGCCCAACTTTGCATTTTGAGACCAGTTAGCTTTCTAGGTGAGAGGATCCACCAGGGACTGAGCCTCATGTGCTAGTTCCGTCTCCCAAAATCACTCATCAGATAAGACATCGCTGCCCTGGCCAGTTTGGCTCAATGAATGCCCACTGAAGGGTCCTGGATTCAAATCCCGTCAAGGGTTCTCACATCAATGTTTCCTCCCTTCCACTCTCTCTAAAAATCAATGGAAAAATATCCTCAGGGGAGAATTAACAAACAAAAGACACCCCTCTATTGAGAGGGACTGAATGAGGGTCCACAGAGCTTGTTCCCACACTTCTCAGAGCTCACTGCCTTAAACCATTCCATTGCTGGGTAGGTGTAAGCAATTTCAAAGTTATTTTTCTGTCTTAAGCTGAAATCTGCTTCCCTATAATTTCACTGAATACAGCTGAAGACCTACTGTGGCACACCTCTGCAGAGCTCCATCCAAGGTTGGGCATTAAAACCATGAACTTTTTTTAAAATGATTTTGATGAGCTAAAATTTTGATGAGTTCCTGCCTATCTGTATTTATTTTAAAGTTCTCTAAGAATGAGTCTCATAAGCACCTGTGGGTGAGAACTAATGCTATAGGTTAAATATAGACTTGGGATAGCATTGTGACCACCCCTGTAGTTTTACCTCTCACCTTTCAGTAGTGAAGAGCAAGAGGTCAACCTCTTCTCCCTTTTGTTAGAAACAGCATACACGAGAACCTAGCCAAAGCTAAGCTACTCTGGCACAAGCTAATCAATAGCACAACTTGTTTTAGCCTCCGACCTAATGTGACCTAGTTCACTGGTCCTCAGGTTGAACATGGGGAGCTTTAAAAAAGAATACGAGGGTCCCACCCCCAGAGATTCTGATGCCATTGGTCACTGGGGCCTTGGAAGCACTGCCCTTGACTCTAAGATGCAGCAGAGCTTGAGAACCACTAACCTGGTTTATTTCTGGGCCTCAGTTCTTCATACAGAGCATGAATCATTTTTATGAATATAAGTACATATACAAAATATGTGGGACATCTATAATACCGTCAACAATAAAAATAAAATACTCCCTCCCGCTGCATATTCCCTAAAATAAATAAATAAATAAATAAATAAATAAATAAATAAAAATAAAGTTAAAAATAAATTGTCGTTGCCCTAACTGGTTTGGCTCAGTGGATAGAGCATTGGCCTGTGGACTGTAGGGTCCCAGGTTTGATTCCAGTCAAGGGCATGTGCCTTGGTTGCGGGCACATCCCCAGTAGGGAGTGTGCAGGAGGCAGCTGATCAGTGGTTCTCTCTCATCGATGTTTCTAATTCTCTCCCTCTCCTTCCTCTCTGTAAAAAATCAATACAATATATTTTAAAATATATATTGTCCATATAGTTAAATAATGCTGTTGAATATTTACTCGTTTCATTTAAAAATAATAAAACTATGTTAATAACTAAAAGGAGTACATCTTTCCCTCAGATTTACAGTCAAATCCTTTCCTGTCATTTCAGCCAACATGCCTGTATTCTGTCAGTCAGCCCCAAAGCCATGTGGATTGTTTCACATGGGAATCAGGAACTGGCTTTCTTGTCTCCTCTTAGTGACTGTGGGGACAGCCCACCACCTGCCCAGTGGCCTAGAATATTCTGAGTATGTTCATGTACAATTCTGCTGAGAATGGGAATGACTTTGGTGGACCCCATGACTCCACCAGAGGGTGATCTGCATTTCCAGGCCCAGGGCCTGCCTTGGAGAGTGGGAGAGAGACATCCCGCCATTCTCATCCTTCAGTGGTTCCAAATGAAGGCTTTCAGTGTGAGTAAAAATGTTTTATTCATATAGGCCTTTTATGAGTTCATAACTAGACAATAATGAAGACCACAGGAAGCAAAACATTGAATATAATTTTTCAATTACCTTTAGAACATCTATGTGAAATTTGAAACATCAAGTAAATTTTAATGTTATTTACTTTTGTTTATATTGTGCTGTTTATTTTCAAAGTCCTATCTACAATTTCTAAAATGTTTCATTTTCCTAATTTCAAATCCCACATACTAGAGCTTCTGAAATTCAAAATAAGCAGATTTCAGTGTAGCAAACTGATTTGCCGTACAGACCTTTAAGTGTTATTTGCCAAACATTTCATAGTTAACATTTTAAAGTGGAAATTTAGTATTAGATATATTTTGTAAGTTTGATCACGTAAAACTAACACTCTCCACCCATCAAAAGCACAGCATAGAGTTCCTGCTGTATGCAGGGCAGTGTACTCGATGTCTTGGCTATACAATAAGCAGCGTGCCTGTCCCTGCTTTCCAGCAATTCACAGTATGAGCTGAACAGCCATGTGGGAATAGCTGAGCTCTGAGGCCGACTGGAAAGCACAATACAGAGGGACTACACAATGGGAGTACTAGGGAGAAGTTTCATTCTGAGAGGGAGATGGTGGAACACTATGGAAGTAGCACTGGATATGGGTTCTGAACATAACTTTGATGTGCAAAGTAACGAGGAAGGAGTTACAATATGACCCAGCAGTTTCACTCTTAGGTACATGCCCAAGAGAACACGTCCACATAAAACCTGAACGTGAACATTCATAGTAGCCTTCTTCATAATAGCAGGAAAGAGGAAACAACCCAAATGTCCATCAATTAACGAGTAAATAAAATGAAGTACCAGCCCTGACCGGTTTGGCTCAGTGGATAGAGCATTGGCCTGCGGACCGAAGGGTCCTAGGTTCCATTCCAGTCAAGGGCATGTACCTTGGTGGCAGGCACCTCCCCAGTAGGAAGCATGCAGAAGGCAGCTGATCGATGTTTCTCTCTCATTGATGTTTCTGACACTCTAGCCCTCACCCTTCCTCTCTGTAAAAAATCAATAAAATATATTTTTTTAAAAATATGAAGTATCCAATAAAAAGAACTGATCCATGCTACAACCTGAATAAACCTTAAAAAATTACACGAAGTGAATAAGACCACATATTGTATGATTCCACTTAAATGAAATGTCCAGAATGGGGAAATCCATAGAGATAGCAGATACTAGTAGATCAGTGATTGCCTAGAATGGGGGGGAATGAGGAATGACTGCTGATGGGCATGGGATTTCTTTGGAGGCTGACAAAATAATGGTAAATATTTACCCCATCTTTCCCATTCAGCCTTAGAGAAAGTTCTTTATAGAAGAATCATAGATGATAAATGCAAGAGTTTGATAGAATCCAAAAATCACTATTTTGTAACCCCTAATGAATTAATGGATCCAGACGACATTCATCAGTGGTTGCTAAAACCATTAGCTGAGAGATTGAAAGGAAGCCTTGTGATGGATGACAGCACCATGAGCCACCGATCAATCTGAAAATCACCCAAAGTGGAACCACCAGACATTTTAACCAGAAAGGATATAATATCACCTCTGCAGTATTCTTAGGGGGAAGTATCAAATCAGAATCAAATCAAGTTTCTAGAACTAACTAGACACCAGGGGGATACCATCAGCCAAATCTGGAATGGAGTAAATTCTATGATAAATATTCCAGTTCCTTCCTCAAATACATGGCAAGAAGAAAGAAACTAAAAACAAGGGTAAATGTTAGAGAGTAAAAGAGGCACCAACTAAATGCAATGTTGAATTCTGATCGAAACAACCTGTAGAAAGATACTTTTGAGACAGGAAAACTGAATGCATGCTGATTTATGATATACTAGTAATTAAAAACATCTTATTAATTTTGTTGAGTGACAATGATATTGCGGTTTTGTTAACATTAAAAGATCTTAGAGATAAAGATCATTTTAAGTATTTTCAAGTTAGATGCCATAATGCCTTAAATTTGTTTTAAAATACTCCAGCAAAAGAAATTTCTTAAAAAGGTGAATGCATTATCTATCTGTCTATCTATATCTATATCTATAACTATATCTATATCTATATCTATTTGTCATATATAGGAATATCTTTCAAAATTTCCACGTGTGCTTTATAATTTGCAAATAAGGTCTCTGGACTTTACCCCACTCCTCCTCTAATTAAGAGGATACATTTTATTCATTATAGTTTTGAGGCTTAGAAAATATATACTCACAAATAAAAACTTCTAAGAAGTAACATAAATATTAAAATGAAAAGGTAAAAATAAGGCTGCCTTCTTTTGAGTACAGCTTACTCATTATATCCAGATAATACTGGTTTTTAAAAACTATTTCTTCCCTCCCAGAAATATTTCAAACCTACAGAAAAGTTCAAAGAATATGACAAAAAAACATTTGTATACCCTCAACCTAGATTTATCAAAAGGTCAACTGTTAACATCTGCTTTCTTTCTCTCTCATCATATACACATTGATTTTTGCTAAACATTTGAAAGTTGCAAACTTCATGCCACTTCACCCCTAGATACTCCTTCGTGCATTGACTAAGAATAAGACATTTTCCTGCATGACCACAATATTGTTATCACACCTAAGAAAATGAATACTGCCCCGCTGGCGTGGCTCAATGGTTGAGCATCGACCCATGAACCAGGAGGTCATGGTTGGATTCCTGGTCAGGGCACATGCCCAGGTTGCAGGCTCGATCCCCACTGTGGGGTGTGCAGAAGGCAGCCAATCAATGATTTTCTCTCATCACTGATGTTTCTATCTCACCCTCTCCCTTTCTCGCTGAAATCAATAAAAGTATTTTTAAAAGAAAATGCATAATTATTCTATGTCATCTAATATGCCAAGCCCCTTGCCCAGACTGCCCATTGGGTCTCCTCTCTCCTCATCCAAATCCCCAGCTGGAGTATTACTTGTAAGCCCTGTGCAGATTAACTATTTTCTATGCTTAGCTACTGCCTTACGGCAGAGTTATCATCTCTTTAAAGAGCAGTCGCCAACCATTCAGACCTCATGGACCACAGGTTGCCAACTGCTGCTTTAAAGTCTTTGTGAGAATAGATACAAAATGTATTTAAGGTAAATAATTGTAAACGCTAGTGAACTCAACATCCAGTTTAAGAAAAAAAAGTTAGCAGTACCTTCGAATTCCACTTCCCCAGGCACATCAATACTGTCCCTCTGATGCCACGGCCCACGTGGCCTCGGGTTCAAAGACTTGGAAAAAGGGCTGACACGCAAATTAATGCATAAGACAAGAAATATAAATTTGGAAATCATGGGGGAGCCAGTTGTGATCTTGGTACAAGAGATCAAATTCCACTGAGTCTCCAGTCCCATCTGCTTTTATTGACTAGAATACACAATTGCCTTTTAGGAATGTTTAGTAAACAGTAAGATTATCAGGTTGGGGGGAGTTTGCTTTCCAGCGGTTCTCAACCTGTGGGTCGCAAACAATGAAAATACATCCTGCATACCAGATACTTACATTACGATTCATAACAGTAGCAAAATTACAGTTATAAAGTAGCAACGAAAATAATTTTATGGTTGGGGGTCACCACAACATGAAGAACTGTATTAAAGGGTTCGCAGCATTAGGAAGGTTGAGAACCACTGCTTTAGGCCATTGAGTCATCAGCAGTAGGTAATAAAATACAGATATTCGCCTCACCCAGTGCACGAATTTCGTGCACTGGGCCTCTAGTATGAACAATAAAATGGCAATAAATACATATCTATCAACAGTTGAATCTAAAAATTGAAATAAATGAACTAGGAATCTAATGAACAAAATAAACTGATGAATAAAATAGAACCAGAGGCATGAAAACATGGAACAGACTGATGAATCTCAGAAGGAAAGGGTAGGGGAGAAGGTGGGAAGAGATTAACTGAAGATCTTATATGCATATATGCAGTACCTATGGACACAGACAATAGGGTGGTGAAGGCCTGGGGCAGGGCAGGAACTGGGTGGAGGGGGGTAATGGAAAGGAAAAAGGGACATCTGTAATACCCCCAACAATAAATATTTTTTTTAAAAAAAGGGGAAAAAATGCAAATATTCATCTTGT